CTTAAATAGTTTAAAGTGATTGTAAGGGTGTGCAAACTGATTTTGTCTCCCTCATATTAAAACTATGTAGGACCTTCTCAACATATTTTGTCTGAGACAGCAACAAAGTGCTTACACTCCTGATCCTGATGATTCTCATCCAAAGGATCTTCTTGATTGGACTTAAATCTTTCATCTCAAACTATGTTGATAATTGTTCCTTCAAGTCTCTAATCTTCTCATATATGTTCCTGCAACTAGCATGTCATCCACATACAAAAAAATAATAATATAACTACCAAAATGTTTGATAAAACAACAGTGATCTCTTTGACACTTTATTTATCAATGTTCTGACATAAACATGTCAAATCTCCAGTGCCATGGTCTTGGGGCTTGCTTCAAAACATAAAGGTTTTTTTTTAATTTGCAAACCTTGTCTTCTTTCATGGAACTTCATATCCCTTCGGCTGCACCAATTTCTCTTCTAAGTCACCATATAAGAAGGCTCTTCACATCCATTTGTTCCAAATATAGATCTTCTTCTGCTATCAAGTTCAGCACAGCTCTGATAGTTGTCATCTGCACTCCTTTTGCTGAAACTCCTTCACTACAAGCCTCATCTTGTAGCGTTTACTACTATCTAACTTGTCTTTTAGACTATAAATACACTTATTGTGTAATTTCATTCTTTCATCAAGTAATTCTGTCAACTCACATATCTAATTTGATTTTAGTAACTACATCTTGTCATCCATGGTAAACTCTCACTCCTTTGAGTCTTCAACTTGAGTAGTCTTTTATAACGCTTTGGTTCACCAACATCAGTCAGCAACAGATAGCACAAAGAATGAGAATATATTTGTATTAATCAAGTGATTTTACTGAATCTTAAGGGTTCAGTAGTAGGTGTCTGAGAAATTTTTTGTGCTTCATCAGATTGAGCATCTTTCATTGTTTCATTTTTCTTATCACCAAAACATTTTATCTCAAAATATTTGAAAAAGTCTTCATAAATAACTAATGGATAATCCTAAATTATGTTCTTGTACATCTCTATTTCATTAAAAGTCACATTCTTTTTACTAAGGATTTTTTTATTCTGATAATCCTTGAATTTATGCTCAAATTCATTTGAGCCATACCCAATAAAAGTCACTTGATACATCTGAATTAAGCATACTTCAATATGAACGTATGATAAACAACCAAATATTTTCAGATGAGATAGATTTACCTCTTTGTGACTTTAGGTTCTTCAAATAAGCCCTCATTCAAAGATACTGATAGACAACAATTGATCAGATAAATTGAATTATCCATTTCTTTGACCCAGAGCTGTTTTGACAAGCTTGCATGTAACCTCATAATCCAAGAACGCTTTGTAATGGTTTTATTCATTAGCTTAGTCACACTGTTTTGTTGTGGTGTCCTTCAAACAGTGAACTCACGTTTGATTCACTCTAAAGCACAATAACTCATGAATCTTTGATCACAATATTCACCATCATTATTAGATTTGAGAAACTTCTCAAGCATGTCTCATTCTCAACTATGATCTTCCACTTCTTAACACCTAATACATCGAATTTATGTTTTGAGAAGTAACTCATGGATGATCCTGAGTTATGTTCTTGTTTGTGTACCTCTGCATTTCATTGAAAATCAAACCCCTGCTTCAAATCAATATTTTATTCTTATTATCACAAAATTTATACCCAAATTTGTCTAAGTCATATCCAATAAAAATGCACTTCACAAATCTCAAATCAAACTTCTAGATCATACATCAACATGAACATATGATTAACAATAAAATATTTTCATGTGAGATATATCTACATTTTTGTCACTCCAGACTTCCTCAGGTGAACATTCATTCAATGGTAATGACAGACCACAGGATTAATCAGATAAATTGCAGTTAACCACTACTTCCCAGAATTGTTTAGACAAGTCTGCATTCAACATCATACTCGTGACACGCTTTATAATGGTTTTATTCATGCACACAGTCACACCTTTTTGTTGTGATGTCCTTAGAACAGTAAACTCATATCTGATTCATTTTAAAGCACTAACTCATGATCTTTTTATCACCATAGTCATCATCATTATCTAATTTGAGGCACTTCAACCTCAAGTGTCTCATTCTCAACCATGATCACCCACTCCTTAACGCCTCAAATTCGTCAAATTTATATTTTAAAATAAATATCATGCCTTTTTGATGTGATCATCAATGAAAGTGACAAAGTATTTCAGCCGCCAATAGACTTAGCTGGAGTATGACCTCATATAGTCGTATATCTAACTCCAGCTTTTTATACTTCACCTTTGACCACTTTTAGAAAAAGCAATTTTATTTTACTAGGCATAAATATAATCTTCACAAAAATCCAACTCTATAGACTTTAGGCCATAAGGCTTATTATTTAAAATAAAAGACTTCATACATTTCTTACTCATATGGCCAAGTCTACAGTGCCAAAGACCTGCATCATTTTTTTTGTTCCAGCTAAACTATTGGATTCAGACATTTCATTGATCAGGAAAAGAGTGTCTTCAAAGTTATCACGAGCCATCACTCCTCTGATCACCTTCCCCAAATCAACTTTTAAAGTAATCACATACCCTAACATTGTAAGCTAACTCACATAATCAAATTTATTTTCAAACATGGAATGTGTATAATTTCATTAATTTCCAGACTGACCTATTTGTCAATCTGTCATCAATATCATCATTTCCTATAATATTGCAGGCTTTATTATCCCCCAAACAACTTCTCTAGATCACTTTGAGTGTATTTTCTGAAAATCTCTTTGTTGGGACATGCATGAAAAGAGACATGAATCTACCATCCAAGATTTGATATTATCTAGGGAGATGACAAGAGAGTCACCTTGGATTTCATTTGTGAAGAAATTTGTAGAGAGCTTCATATCTGGATCTCTACCACCATTTTTTGGAGCTTTGCAATCCCTCTTGGAGTGACATTTCTTACAGTGAATCCAGCATTCACTTTTGCATTTTTCTCTCCCTGACCTAAACTTTCCTCTACTGGACTTCAATTTTTATCTATCTGTGTTTATATACAGATTTATTCCTTTGTATTCAACATTCAAAGCAGACTTTGAAGTTTCAACGTCACCTTATTGGGAACTTCTTCATTCAGTACTAAACCCACAATATCATCAAAATTTAACTTCATATTACCTGAAGGGTTAGTAATCGCAGTGACTAGTCCATCCCAACTGTCAGGCAATGAAGATAACAGTGTTGTGACCTCATCATCCACTATCTTCATCAAAAAAACTTTATTTGAAGTCGAGTGTTTTTCATACACCCTTGTTAATGTAGCCATGAGATCTATCATAGTTTTCTCATTCACGATGATGAAAGCAACAGATGAGGAAAGTAAAAGTCAGATCAAACCTAGGGTTATTTGATCAAACGCTTCCCACTTTTCAAGTCATTGATTTAGACTTTTGGTGATCCTTCCAGTAACAAATAAAGTCTCTTTTAATACAATAAGCCTTCAATTATATTTTCCAGAAAAAAAGTTATGACCATTTAACTTCTCCACCTTGTACCTCACTTTGTCAGCCATTGATCCCATTTGAACCCAAGATCTTCAAAAAACCTAATCTGATACCACTTATGAGGAAGCCGCGGAAACTTATTGGAGAAATCTGAAATAAAACTTAGAACAGAGAACATAAAAAATGCGGAGAACACCAAGATTTAACATGAAAAAAATCTGAGAACGGAAAAAAATCACGAAGCCACACCAAATCAAGAAATTCACTATAAAAAAATGAGGAGAATGTACATATTAAACCACACTCAAACCTCTACAAACTTGGAACTCACAAACATTCGTTATATCTCTCACAAGAGAATTCAAGAAATCCAACTTCAACGCGCGCACAAATCCCACAACGAAGACGATGAACGGGAGAAATCCATGAAGCCACACCAAACCAACAAAATCACTATAAAGAAATGAAAAAGATGTATAGATTACACCACTCAAACTTCTTTACACACTTAGAACTCACCATCACTCCTTTATATCTCCTTTCACAAAAGAGCTCATGAAATTCAACTTCCACGCGAGCACAAATTCTGCAGCGGAGACGATCCTTTAAAGGACAAATTGCACATTTCAGTTACAAATACCTAGGCGCCATCCCCCAACGTCGATTTTCCATGTGCTCTGTTTTTTACACTGGAAATGAGCATATATGAGCGCGGTCGCGCCCCTCCTGACCACCACTTCACACTTGATTTTAGAGGAAGTTCTTCTGGGCGCTTAGGCTCCACACCAGACGTGAGATTGTGAAGCGCTCAGTTATGCAGAACTCTGTTGGGCGCTGGGACACCCAACTAGGCAATAGGGGTGATGGGTCGCCCAGCCAGGCGTTGGGGCAATTTTTCCATGACATAATTATCATCCACACATTACATACAAGAAGTTATGCATTTGGAATTCTTCCAAATCAAGTTAATTTTACATACATTGAAATTGAACTAGAGAATGAATTCCAATAAAATGAAATTTTACATTGCATTAGTTTTTCATCGGAACAAATGCCTAAATTTTCAAAACTACCGCAAAAGGAAAAGCAGTGCACTCCTTTTGCTGCAAAACAAAAAACCCTTTTGTATTTAACCTTCACAATATATTTCTAAGTTTCATCATTCACAATATATTCCATAAATTTCATTATTATTGTTTGTTTATCTAGTGATGAAATGATGAGTGATGTGAGGAAAGAGGCTTTCGCTTGTACTCTATCTTCACTTAAATTCAAGTTGCACTGCAGTATTTTCGTTTTATAACCCATTAAAAAATAAAACAATAAAACTACCCATAAAATAATTCATAATTACCATGGTTATATAGCTTCTACACCATAAAATTTCACACAGCAGTACTTCTGATAAATATACCGAAACAAAAAGGAAGCTTAACGAAGTTAAATAATATGTTCTACTAGAAGTTGTGAGCTTACTGGTCGCTATTGTTATCTTCACCATCTTCTGCCTTATAACTGAACGAAGGCAAAGAAGCAATAGTATCAATAGAAAGACCTCTACTCTGAGTGCCAACTACCTCACCCAACGCAACCAACTCCTGCAATAATATACAGAAGCCTGATATTATCAAAATATATAGAAATTTGAATGTTGAATAATGTAAAGGAACTCATCTCACCTCATAAGACAGTTCATCAGGATCGAACTCTTGCCATGCATCCTAGAAAGGGAAAAAATAAGTTAAAATATCTTAAATTTTGAGGTTGTTTGGAGTCACTTTTGTTTTTGTTTTATTTTATTATTTTTATTTATTGGATATAATTAAAACATATTTGGTTATGATAGTTATTTTTAAAAATACTCAAAACACGTATAAGTGTGAAAAAAAAAAAAGCAAAAAACAAGTGTTGTCCAAAAGAAAGTTAATAACAAGTTTAGGAGGATAAATTCACTAATATGTATTTCTACAAGGGAAATTCTGAAAAGCAGATGGATCCAGTGTGTGAATTTGTCTTTCTTTCCCAAAATTAAAATTCAAGTGTCAAGTTATAACGTCCAGATTTCCATTAAAAAAAAATAAACCCTAATCAACAAACATCGAAATACACAAACAAGAGAAAAGGAAATAAATAACTATAACTCAAATAACTCTTTCTGATGCCTACAAGGCTGGTGGCTGCAAATCCTTCACAAAGTTTCTAAAAACTATTGTGGGTCCCTCCTCCCGCATGAAGGCAACCGCCTTCATTCAGTTTTGGAAAAACATTTTCGGTTTTACTCTATGCTAGTGAAATAAAAAATTAAAAAAAAAAAAAATCAGCCTGGCAATAGCATGAAAGGAATCTGGAGGAAGAAGAAAAAAAATTGTGTTTGTCGTCAATGAGTTCTTTCTTCTACCGTGGGATTTGGCATCTCATTGGTGATGAACAGGGCACTAATTATTGTGGTTTGAATCTTGTCTTTGTTGAATTCGGTGAGATTACCAAACTCTTGTGTTTGATAAAGTTGATGTATACCACATACTCGGTGGTGGTTGATTATTGATTTCTGTTGTAATGTTCTAAAGAACTCTATGTACCGATTAAGTTGATTAGTGGAGGTGTTTAAGTGACCTTCTGGTACATGATTTTTACACTATTTGAGGGGCTTTCCACGCTATAAAATTGGTGTTGTTTATTCTCATTATTTCATTTAATCAAATTTGTTGGGTGTATACTCGTGTTGCAGTGTGTTATTGACTACCTGAATAGCCATATCCCATTTCACCCTAAATCCACCCTAATCTGATTTAGTTCTACAAAAGCATCGAAACATTGATACAAATAATTTTTGAAAAGCTGAATAAAATACATTTAAGGATATGTAATTTTCTTTTATCTTGCGCATATTATAATAAATAAAGTAACAAAGCTTGTGTCAAATATGCACTAAAATTGTGAGAGAATTAACACTACATCAACCATAACGCTTATGGAATATTAAACAAAAAATATATATTGGAAGTGAAACATCAAATGAGAAATAAAGTAAGCTTTGTGTGGTAGAATTGTGATGTGTTGTGATACTCAATAAAAGCCCCTTGAAGCTTCCTAAGTCCAAAGAAAGTCTCTGTACTAACCCAATCATGTTCACGCTCAAATTAAGCTCACAGCTAACTATCCTAAAAGCCTACAACAAATATCAAAGAAAACATCTCTAACAAAAAAGAGTACACCCTTTCTTGTTATTCGACTAAATTTTAGATGTTATTAGGTAAAAATTTAAATATTTTATACCAAATAATTATTTAAAGAAATTAGAAATTAATCTAAATTTGTTGATAACATGATATTATATATATATGTATTATATTTCATATGTAATCAAATAACCCTGCAATAGCTAGATGTAGGAAATAATTTATAGAATAAGAAGGGTATATATATCAAATTATTTTTTAAATCTTTAAATTGAAAGAGAGGATCATTTTATAACTAGATTTTATGAAGCATAACTTTCTTGTATTAATTTATAATATGCCTACCAAGATTTAATAAATTACAGCTCATTTTCAATTGAGAATAATGTTGTATGCAGCTACACATACTATACCGTACATAAAAAATGTAGTACCAATTCCATGGGGCGCGTAAGGCACTCACACAAAATATAGTGGTACTCGCCTAGAATCCATTAGAACTCCCTCAATATCTACTAAAACTTGCCCAAAGTCCAACATAACCAACTAGGATCTAGGAAGACTCGTCTAGGGCAAGACCCTCACTCAAAGCCTAAAAGCATTTGTCCATATAAGAAGATATCGCTAACTTAGTTGGATCCGCCCTCTTTTTGTGGGCGCATGCCCAAAACATCAGGGAAAATATGTTCAGACTGAATCAGACATCCTTCTTTATTAGTCGACAACCCCAAATGTCAAGCAATTAGGAGTTTGTAAAACTCTCATCTTTTGAGGATCATCTGTTTATATATTGAATCTTGGTCATAAGCTTATCGCATCAAGATCTGAAATGTATGTATTAATTTATTTTAAAAATTGTTCATAACAAGGGTAACAAATCTTAATTGCATCTGTATCAAAAAATTTTATTTCCTTTTTATGTAGCTTGCAGTGAATAAGTGATAATTAGGTTTAAATACTTAGCTGTATATTTTTGTTTGAGCTCTAATTGTTAATTCAAACCTTAAAATGAAGGAAGCTGAAGTCAAAACTTAAAAATTTTAATTGTTAATTCAATGCTATATATCTCATTGTTATATAGCGGTTTTGCTGAGCTGCAGAGATCATCTGAACTATCTTTTGAAAAATGAAGCTAAAGTCTGGACTTAGTCTGTGTAAGTGGCTCATTGTCATTACTATTGTCAAGTTTTGTCAGTTTATATTCAGAAGAATGGAAAGATCTTTCTTATTTTGAAAGTCATAAAAATCTTGAAAATCTGATATTCATCATCTCAGTTGGCTTCCTACATCATCTCAGCTATTCTGGTTAAATATTTTGTTATTTCATAGCAGATTAAGATATTGCTAGACTATTTGTTTATTTCATACCGTATGGGCTCCAACTAAAACTTTAAATGTTCTAACGAATAGCTTAGGAAAGCGATGTGGTTTAAGGCTAAACTTGCACTCAAATTGTTCATATTTTGAAAAACAATCAATCGAATCTCCTTATCTAGAGAGCAAGATTGTAAGTCCCACCTAGTAACAAAAGTAAAATTTATCACCTAAAAAAACTTGAAAGCAAATTCTATCCACCATCCATAACAATTTGTCAGGAATGACAAACATCTAATTGATTTCAGCTCACAAAAGGTAAATGTCATATCTATATATCATTATATTCACACTCAAAGTAATTTTATGTTAGTATGAAAGTGGCACAAGTCCTCTGTCCGTATGGTTCTGCCAAAAGGCTCCACAAAAGTAGTTATGACCAGAGCAATCTGACCGAGTGGTTACAGTCAAATGACACCATTATCTTACGGTCATAGCCACAGCTCGTATGTTAACCAATAGCTTTTTTACTTTTTGAGTTGTGAATTGTACGACTATAATTGATTGATACAAAATTTTATGTAAGCTAAAATCGATATAAATTTATCCCCTTAAACAAAAATTCACCCAAAATCTACAAGAATCCCTTGGATGACGCAAGTCATAGTTGTTGATAATGACTCTTCGGTTATGTTGAGTCGACTAACTCTTCTAACTAAGTAAATCAGAAACCACGACGACCTAAAACGACGGGACCATAGGACCTTGATCGGGTTCTTCATGATTTCCCCCACTATCTGCTTTAACTTTTGACTGATAAAATTTTCAATTTAAAATGTGTGATTGTTTCTGCTATATGTTGATTATTCAATGTTACATGACTAGTCTTAGTCGAAAATGTTCTCCTGGTTATCAAGATGAGTAATTAAAAATAGGGGTTTGCGCCTATGAGAAACTTTAAACCCCAAATCAAAAAATCCTCACAAAATGTGGGCGGAATCTTTGAGTAGTGTCCTATCTACAATCCAATATGCCTTCTAAATATTTGACTCTCAAAACTCTCTTAACAAACAACACAAACAAAAGTGAGGCCATAGCTTCAAAATTTTTAGATCCCGCATTTGTACTTTTGAAATAGAATATAGATGTAGTAGGAAAGTTGTTAATCAGCTTAATGAACAAGAAATTATCTAAACTACAAACGCTTTTATGAAAAATTTATCAGTTCAATATGATTATAATGAGATGGAAAATCAACAGTTAATTAGGAAGAATACTCTTTATAGCTTAAAATTCAAAGCTACAAAAAAGTTCAACCAGCATATACATTCAATATTCTAATTATTGCTGAATTAAATTGCCACGGGCAAATGCCCCAGACAATAAATCTTAAAAATAATTTAAAATTTTTCGTTGCATTTCAAATTTCATTATGTTCAAAAAAATAATAAATCCTTCACCATCTGAAGCATGAATTCGTTTTCTGTTTAGACAAGTAAAATCAAATCAACTTCTAGCTTCCCTTATCAACTTGAAAATAACAAAAAATAAAAATAAAAAAATTCAACAATCCATGTTTGGCAGTAATTTTCAGGAACAAGCATCATAAGAAAATAATAATGATAATAACTCATTACTAACTTGGTGATGATTGCCACGATCTCCATGTTCTACAATGCCCCCTAAAAATAAAACGGAACAAAATAATAATAATAACAAAAAAAGAGCTTAATTCAGTATCTAAACGAACATTATTTTTAGCTAGCACTGAAACGGGGCATGTATAAACAAGGAAATCTCACAATCATTCAATCCAGCGAGGGCCATCAACCGAACTGCAATTCCCCTCTCCTCAACATCCTGGACAGCCCTAGCATAAACCTCATCGTTTTCAAAATCGGCTGAGTTGATATCGCTCCCATTAGCATTAAAAACATCCTCCCCATAATCACTCCCCTCCAAACTGCCTTCTTCATCATCAATCAGCTCATGATCCACATCCAGTTTTTCCTCCTCATAGCGCCCACCATCCGAACTGACATAATCACTGCCGTCAATACCGTCCATCCTCAGTAGCATAAAAGCCCTTTCCTGAAACAATTCCGCAACAGCCCAAAAAACTCAATAACTACTGCTGCCAGATCCCGACAACACGGCATCTCAATATGTTCAGAGCTCCTTACCTGTTCTTGAAGAGCGCGAGCCAGAGCAAGGTCAGCGTCAAGCTGACTGAGGCTAGTAAAAGGCGTTCTACTTGGCGTGCGGGGCACCATCTCGGGTGCAGTTCCGCCGTCCGCCTCACCAGCGGAGTTGAAACTCGAATTAGGGTTAGGGTTTTCGCTGAAATCCTTATCTCCGGCGCCGCTGTTCTCCTTGATGTTCTCCATGTAGAGGAACAGAGAGAAGTGCGAGCGAGATAGTGGGTGGGGAGAGACGAGCGAAAACAATGGAGTTTAAATTTGGATTACTGGAAAACGGCGGATGGAAGACAGAGATTTCGTCTCTGGAATTCTAGCAAGAATCTGAGGTTGGTTTCCTCTCTCAGAATAGAAGTTCCTTCCACCTCACGCAAGGAAGATTAAAATTTCACAAAAAAATTTAGTTAAAAATCATTTACTTTAATTTAAAACAAAATAATTTAAAAAATCAATTATAAAAGTAATTAGTTTAATTTGGATTTAAAATTTTACAAAAAAATTTAGTTAAAAATCATTTACTTTAATTTAAAACAAAATAATTTAAAAAATCAATTATAAAAGTAATTAGTTTAATTTGGATTTAAAATTTCACAAAAAAATTTAGTTAAAAATCATTTACTTTAATTTAAAATAAAATAATATAAAAAATCAATTATAATTTAAGTTTGCACTTATTTGAAAAGAAACTTGATTAAAATTTTGATCAATATATTCTTAATCAATTTTTTTTTCAATTTCTTTGCCAATTGGAAAGATGCTTGATCCACTATTATAAATTTGATTGAAATATTACAAAACGTGGCATACTTCTAGCATAAGACATTACGGAGCCTTAAATACTTCTAGTATATTTGACCAACAGAGATGCACACAACTTATTAGGATTTAATATCTAATATCATTTCACATTTATTCATCTAATTATCTAACAATAAATGAATCTAAAATCACAGGAAATTATCGTACTTGTTGAAGCTAAGTACAGCCTAAAACTATTATACATCAGGAATGAAAAACTAACAAGAATATTATTATGGCAATATTTGAAAATTGGGAGGAATCGTTTAATTCTCTACATAAGAGGATAGTAAGATTGCTAGGCAATGCTTGATAGGGATAGAACATTGTTATTGGATAAAAATAGAGATACTTTTTTTCACATATGCTTAGTTAAATGTAGTTGCCCATCCACGTTAATAATAATTTATTTTTTATCTGCATTCATTATTATTGGGCCCAAATTCAATGAGTCATGGTGATGTTTTTTAAAAATCTTACAATAAATATTCTGTGTCTAGAATATAATATTTATGCATGATTCTTTATGGTCTTTTTGGGTTAGTGTTTGCTTCTTGGGATACTCATTGTAGCATGTAATCACCATCTTCAATATTTATGTGGGAACTTCATGAGGGCCCTCCACAATAAGAGAATTTCAAATTTTGAGACCATTTGCCACATTGGTGGTACAATGTACAAGTATTTAAATGATGTATGATATGACATAAAATATGTAAAACATGAAACATTATATTAGTTTATACATAAAGATCCAACAAAGTTGAGTCGATTACATGTTGCAACTTTAGATATGAGAAAATAACAACAAATACATCAAATGTAGTCTTAAAATGTTCTAGAGTTTCACACATACAAGCTTCATATGTTCCATTCATTATAATATTGTTGGGCTATTCATCATAAAGGTGTAAATGAGCTGAAAATTAGCAAGCTCAATATCTACTTGTATTTGACACCTTAAGAAATTAATATCTTCAAATTCAGCTTCTGTCAAAATTGTTCATGAAATTGATATTTGTGTTAAAAAAAAATGAAATGTGCTCACGTAAAAATTTAGGCTCGAATTGGCTTGAAATTATTAAACATGTTAAAAAAATAAAATTTTACATAAAATGCAATAATAAATTATAATTAATTTTTATTTCAAATGTTTTATAAACACAATTGATGTGTCATCAAAAAATTATTCTCTAGCACAAATTTTGATGAATTTTTATAAAGAGTTTTTTGAATTTAAATTCAAGATCATCCGGGACCCCGATTTTAGCAATTTTATAGTTAAATTAATCGTCTCGATAACATGAACCCAGTGATATCAAACTTGGGTCAATACGATCCAACCGAGCCTAATTTAAATTATTGACACGCATTTGAAGGTCTTTGGATTGGCATTTGAATGATTAAAAGAGCTTCAAATTTGATATATTTATTTTTGGTTCTTTTTAAATAAATCCAGAGTCGTCAGCTTGTCTATTTATATGTATTTATGTTAATTTTTTTTTTCAAATAACTCTCTCTCGGATCATAGAAATGATTCAAAGAACAGATGAATCGAAAAGAATGATATACGGCGGAAATAGAAATAAAATTTAAAAGAAATATGAAGAATACATGTACGGCAATCTTCATGTGATAGGTCGATAATATATGTCCAAACGAAATCAGATTGAACCCCGAAACACGATATTCATGAAAAAAATCCCTACATAATTCACTCATAACTAGAGAACTAAAAAAACACATTTTTTGTAGGGCTAAGAGCACTCCCAAAGGAATGTAACTTTTTGGTTAATTATATCTTAAGGGATACCCAAGAATATTCTTAATAAAAGTAGACTTCTTACATTATCATAATAACTGGTAGATAGTCACTAAAATGATGGTTATTTCAAACAGGAACATCCTGATGCTTTCAAAGCTCTGTTAAGCCACATGGTAGACAGTGAGTCTCTTACATCCTAAATGGTTAGTGACTCATTGATATAAAGAATACCAGGAGGCCAATCAAACCAATCTAAGGTGAGTCGTCGAGCCGACCGATATTGATCGACCGATCAAGAAATCCAACTAGAGACAGCCGATTGGACTGAATGATACTTGTTGACCAATCAAGCTGGCCTAAAGCGTTGATTGTTACTTGACTTATTCTTTAAATGAAGTTTTTGATCTCCATTGAGTTTAGATTTTTATAAGTCTTAATTCTTAAGAGTTGAAAAAAAATTGTTGCTACTTTCATAAACTTAGGGAATTATGAATAAACCTCCAATCACTTTTGATTAATCAATTTTTTGTTGTAATTTGGCTCTTTAATTAAGAATCATTTAAGTATTATAACTTTGAACACTCTTTAATGTTTGAATTGAGGGTCTAAGGGTTCAGAAAAGTACCTTTGTCACCTTGAAAAAGTATACAAATATAACCCTCCCCGCCTCCTTAGTTATGGATTTTACTTCATTGCAGTTATTTTATTTTTTTTTAATGAGTTATAATTAAATTTTAAAGATCTTAGGGTTTCAAGTATTTAAATTATTCTTAGGGATAGATTTTTAATTTTCAAATTTTAATCAATTTTGTGGAAGTTCAGTTAGTTTTACTTGTTAATCTCATCAATTTTTGTTAAAGTGTTTTAAATAATGATTAGATCCTTTACTTTTCTAATTTGGATTAATTAAGGTTATTTATATTTTTTTTAAGTTAATTTCTTATGAGTTTAAATAATTACAAGTTTTCCCTTAATCATATTTAGAGTTTTTCTTTCTTAGGTTTGACTTAATGCTCCATTTCATATGTTTATTAAATTCCATTAATTTTAAAGTTAAATTTACTTGTATTTAATTAAGTTATTATTTTTTTATTAGATTTAGAGACCAAGGATTAGGGTACAATTTTACATTTCCGCAAACATACCTCTCTCAGGTTTATGTGGCTTCTAATTTTCATAAAATGAGGTGTTCATAAAATGGGGTGTTAAGTTCATTATTTCATTTTTTTTTTTTTTTTGTGATTAAGATTTTGTGACATTTAATAAGACTTGAATGGATATTTGGTAATGCTTGTGTGGGATTTAGGTGAAATTTAAGTGATGATTTGTTGACGATTAGAGGTGGAGTTTTAGAGGATTAGGGTACAATTTTACATTTCCGCAAACATACATCTCTCAGGTTTATGTGGCTTCTAATTTTTATAAAATGAGGAGTTAAGTTCATTATTTCATTTTTTTTTTTTTTTGTGATTAAGATTTTGTGATGTTTAGTAAAACTTAAATGGATATTTGGTAATGTTTGTGTGGGATTCATGTGAAATTTAAGTGATGATCTGTTGACGATTAGAGGTGGAGCTTTAGGTGGAATTTTAGGTTGGTTTTCATGAAGATTTTGATGTGAGTTTGGTGAGGTTTGAAATGAAGTTTTGAAAAGGAATTTTAGTAGAAGTTTTTTGGAACTTCGATGAGGATTTTTAGTGGTTTTGATTGAAGGTTTTAGTGAAGTTTTTAAGTAGAGTTTGGAGAGAATTTGGTGAAGATTTAAATGAGGTTTTAAATGAGATTTTAAAGGTGGAATTCAATAAGTATCAAGTGGAGGTTTAAGGGGGGCGGGGCCGGGGTTTATGGAACTTCGGTGATGATTTTGAGTGTGGTCTTAGGTAAGTTTTGATGAGAATTTGGTGAAGTGATATTTTTGTTTGGATTTTGGAAGATTAAATATATATTTTGTAGGGTCATGTTATTAATATTTTTTTGGAGTTCTATTTTCTTAATTCGTTCTGTTAATTTTTTTTTTAATTCTACATACACACCACACAATTCTTATTGTTTTCATATTTAATATTTAAAATTTCAACCCATTGTCTTTTCTCCAACCCATTTAGTTTCTTGAATTTACATACATTGTCATTATCATGTCCCAAGTCTCGAATATGAAAATTGGAGGGTTGCATTAGGTAGTTGACAAATAGCGTAAAATTTATCAAATGCTCATGACATTAATACCCTACAAATGATGTGTTGTATGACCTGAATACAATGAAAAGTTTGTAAAATTCACTCACGGGTGTAGTGTCAAATAAGCAAGGGTTCTCACATTTCAGATGGATGTGGGTGAAGAAGTTAGTCCATGAAACTAATATTAGGACATGATTTTGGAATAAAGGTACTCTTACAGGTAAATTTTTTGAATTAATTGATATTATGGTTCATAGGAAGATAAATATCTTATTTATTCAAGAAACAAAATGTGTTGGAGAAAAAGCTATTGGCCACACTTTTGATGTTATGTGTGTGGGGTGCCCACTTGAATGATATGGGACCGTGTTAAATCTACCATAGACTAAGACATCTGTTCGGACCTTGACCGACTTTTCGTAAATCGACAAATACAATAATTTGATGGCGCTACTAGAAGATTTAATTTCCAGCAACAGCGTCCAAAGACTTGATCGCGACTTTATAGATGTGTCTAATTTGATTAAGATGTATAAATATAATATTCAATAATGTTAAAGTCGAATTAGTCAATGCAAGTATACATATCGCTCAAGTAATATAGGGCTCTAATGGAGTCCTAGATATCGATCCCA